TCAACTATTTTTCTATCAGGTGGTAGATGCGGTCCAGTTATTTTTTTAATTTTATCAGACATCTTTGGGATTTTCATAATTTTACTAAATTTAGATTGTCTGGTAGGTGGTATATCAAAAATACTGTTAACAGTTGGTTGAGAGATGTTATTGGAAGAAGAGAAAAGAATCTTGTTAACTAAGTGCTTAGGAAAACTGTTGCCAATAAAAATCCTTTTTAGCTTTAACAGTGCGTTGTATTGAAACCTGTCATCACAAATTCTTAGTACTCTATTCTTCATACCTCGTAAGGTATTAATTTTATGGTTAAATGAATGTGAAGAGAAATAGTTTATGTAACGTCCCGAATATGTCGGTTTGGTGTACCAATCACAAATCACAGAATTGTTCTCACGTATGACTCTACAATCGAGAAAAGGGACCCAGCTATCAGTTTCAGTTTCCACAGTGAACTGGATGTAAGGGTTAAATGAGTTGAAAACATCAAGAACGTAGTCAACACGATCACGAACGCTGGTGATAATGTCATCAACAAACTTCTTTATAAACGGTAACTGAAAGTCCAATTTGGGAATCACACTATCCAAAACAAAATCCATTACCATCAGCGCCAAGATGGGGCTAATAGGAAAACCCATAGGAGTACCAAACTTCTGAACATAAATCTGATCTTGAAACGAAAAGTAAGTATTGTCAAAAACAAACTTTAAAAGTATACAAAAGGTTTCAGACTTAAAACTGCAATGATCATCAATTAAATTCCACTTGTCTTTCACAATATTAAGGACCAAATCCAGTGGGATGTTCGTAAAAAGACTTATTACGTCAAGTGAAACGACAACACAGTTCTTAGGGATGTGACAGCCTTTTACTTGACTGACAAAATCGAAGGTGTCTTTTACATTGTAAGATGTAGCATTACTTAAGGCAATGGTTAGCATGTCAGATAAGAACTTTGACAGGTTATACACGGTTGAACCACAAGCTGATATAATGGGTCTTAATTTTGATACATTTGTTCACAGTTTTTTGCCTGTAGAAGAAACAATTTGTTTCGAAATATAGCAAAGAAAAATTTAGTTCTCTTTTTTTTCTTATACCGATCGCTACACCCAATAACTTTATCATAGTTGTTAATTTTTGGAATCAAAAAACTCCATCTAACTTATTCCATATTTGTCAACTTCATAAAAAATCCTTTAAAATGAGTCCAAACTCGACATATTTAACTTTAACATTAATGAAAATATAATCACTTCCGGTTTAAAACGTAAACGTCAATTTAGACATATTTGTCATCTTCATTGAAAAAGCTTTAAAATGAGTCCAAAGATGACGCACTTATCTCAAAAAACAAAAAAGTTAGAATAAAAAACATTAAACCCTAAGTTAACAACAATGTAGATAGCAATTTAATTTTTAAATATTAATACCAACCTTAATTTTTTATTTTTTTTTACTATATTTTTGTTTTTGTGACAAATATTAAGACATTTTATAAGAATTAAGTATATGTCAAGATGACATTGACATTTCAAACCGGAAGTTGCTTATATTTCGAGTAATATTGGAATTAAACATATTATGTTTGGACTCATTGTAATAGTATATTAAAAAACAAGTTTCGTAAGACACGCTTGAAATGCACGAATTCAAGTTGAAAAACGAGTGGCGAAGCCACGAGTTTTTTAATGAATGAGTGCTTTAAGTCTTATGAAACGTGTTTTTTATGCTATTTTTTGTAATTCGCGTTTTTATACTTTTTTTTAACAAAAATAAAGTAAATTTTGGCAATGTAGGGAAATAGGTATGTAGCAGTTGGTAACACCGGAACACTTGAAAATAGAAACTTTGAATTGACAATTAGAAACTGTCAAAACACAAAATATATTCACCTGAAAAAAATGTTTGATGTACACCTCCCAAAATAAGAGAAATTGCTCAGAGTCCATGTCCTCATCATTGTGGACCTTGTATTTGATGCTAAGAACGTGTTTAAACATCCAGAGACAAAAATTGTCACATTGACAACTAGAAAAATTAATGACCCAATGTCACCAACTTGAAGTGGTTCCATAAAATGTTACTAAAATCTCATTACAGCACCCGTTTGAGTACTGTTATAGCTTCCATTACCGTAGCGAATTACAAAAAGGATTTTTCACGACCATTACAAATATGTCAAAATTAACATTGACATTTGTAACCGAAAGTTGATCATAACTTCATTAATATTGAAGATAAATATGTCGTGTTTGTACTCATTTTAAAAGATTTTTAATGAAGATTACGAATATATCAAAAGTGAGGTTGACATTTTAAACCTAAAGTTAGTTATCATATAATAGAAGTTTTATAACTGAAGTTAATCTAGTGTTAGTCACTTTTCCGCACTTTCTTTTTATTTTAACGTGTTTTTTTGGGTCATTTCACGTTGATTAAAACATCGTCGATTTTTGAGTCAGATGATGATTCTTGAATTTTTCCCAAGTTTCCAATTTAAAAAAGAAACGAAATAAAATTCCTTTACCCCAAAATAAAATGAAAAAGAAAACAAATCTCATCTGATAACTATCAAAAAGCGACTTTTACTTTATGCCCAAATAACATTGAAATTTGTTTTACACGCGCCACAAGTTTGTTTCTCGATCGACGCATAAAAGGAAAGCTAAAAGAAGCTGTTTGGGTCGCGGTAATATAACTCTTCTCGTAAAATCACCGACCCTCTTATTCTACAAAGGATAGAGGCAATAAACCAACAAATGGTTCCTCGATCAACGAAGAGGGTCTAACAAAATATAAGCCTTAAAAATTTGAAATTATTAGAATTCTTTTCATTACCTGATCTCCCATTCCTGTTATAATCGGCGTATTCCAATAATCAGCTAATCTTGCCACTGGTTCCAAAGCAAACATACAAGCCGGTCCTATAAACGCGATGACATCGTCTCGAAAATGCATATCAGCCGCTAAACCTGGTGCTCTAGCACCACTACAAGAAGGATAACTGAAAATATAAGAAATAAATTAAATTAAATTAGTTATTAAGACTTTTTGGTTGATATTAAAAAAGTTTTATTAAAGAGAGAAAACGAATCTTATATACAATATATACAGTAATAATCCGGGTGTCCCTTGAGGCATCAAAAGAAGGTTGAAATTCAATTTGCCGTCCCGACGAGATGTATACATATTAAAATTGGGACGTCGTGACACTGAGAATAATTCTGAGAATAATCAACTTTGTATATAAAAAAAAAAACTTTTAGAATCTTGATTCCAAGTTACTAGGATAAACTTTGATGGATCACTTTTGTTTGTTACAACTTGAAATTAATCGACACGAAGTTGTATAATCAAATTCGAAGTTTATTCGCGTTTATTTTTTTATTGAATGTATTAGGATGTGGCAATAAAGCCCTATATAGAGTCGATTTGGGTGTCTTTGTAACGAACGCTTCTTAGGATATTAAGTTAGATGGTATCGCAACGGAATATGATTACGGAGGGGGTCCTCTATAAACCTTGAATGCCGGCACGTCTTACAGATTTCATGAATAATTGATGTAAGCTCATTATGAAAATTTAGAAAATCTTAACAAGGAGGTCTTATGTAAAACGTGTTACTTACGAAGGGAAGGGAAAAGATAATCAATGTAAATTGGTTTAAAAGATTCGATTTAGATCGTCTTTAAATAACTTGGAAAGTAGTTGGTTTAAAAAAACTCTGTTTTTTTAGTCGTTATCGTTATGATTTAAAAAAGGGCCTTAAAATGCTTAATTTTTGCCAAAAAACGTTGATGTTGATGAATTTAAAAGGGAATATCTCGAGAACGAAAGCCAATCGGATAAAAGAGTTCTCTTTATTCTAGCTTTTAAATTAACTTTTCTGCCAGAAAAACATTTTAAAGTTCCAAAATCCTCTTAATGTACTAGAAAATGACAAAAATAAAAGTTAACCTCATAAAACTCACGATCTTATTCACTTTTTCGGATGGTGTTTATTAACAATCACCTTTAAAGAAAATCTTGTATGCTAGTGATATAGAAAAATGATTATTGAATCGAAAGATAAGAATAACATTTTTTCATATCATCCTTTCTTCTTGACATATTCACTTTGAAACTGTTAATTCTTGCAAAAAACATTGACTTTGATGGATTTAAAAGGGAATATCTCGAGAACTAAAGCCAATAGGATAAAAGACTGCTCTTTATTTTCGTTTTTAAATTAATTTTTCTACCAGAAAAACATCATTAATGTTTAATCAAAAATCTTCTTAATGATCTAGAATATGAAAAAAATAAAAGTTAACCTCATAAAACTCACGATCTTATTCACTTTTTCGGATGGTGTTTATTAACAATCACCTTTAAAGAAAATCTTATATACTAGTGATATAGAAAAATAATTATTGAATCGAAAGATAAGAATAACATTTTTTCATATCATCCTTTCTTCTTGACATATTCACTTTGAAACTCTTAATTTTTGCAAAAAACGTTGACTTTGATGGATTTAACAGGGAATATCTAGAGAACGAAAACCAATGGGATAAAAGACTGCTCTTTATTTTCGTTTTTAAATTAATTTTTCTATCTGAAAAACATCTTAATGTTTAATAAAAAATCTTCTTAATGATCTAGAATATGAAAAAAATAAAGTTAACCTCATAAAACTCTCGATCTTATTCACTTTTTCGGATGGTGTTTATTGACAATCACCTTTAAAGAAAATCTTATATGGTAGTGATATAGAAAAATGATTGTTGAATCGAAAGATAAGAATAACATTTTTTCATATCATCCTTCCTTCTTGACATATTCACTTTGAAACTCTTAATTTTTGCAAAAAACGTTGACTTCGATGGATTTAACATCGAATATCTCGAGAACGAAAACTAATACGACAAAAGGCTGCTCTTTATTTTCGCTTTTAAATTAATTTTTCTACCAGAAAACATCTTAATGTTTGAACAAAAATCTTCTTAATGATCTAGAATATGAAAAAAATAAAATTAACCTCATAAAACTCACGATCTTATTCACTTTTTCGGATGGTGTTTATTAACAATTATCTTTAAAGAAAATCTTATATGCTAGTGATATAGAAAAATGATTATCAAATCGAAAGATAAGAATAACATTTTTTCATATCATCCTTCCTTCTTGACATATTCACTTTGAAACTTAATTTTTGCAAAAAATTTTGACTTTGATGGATTTAAAAGGGAATATCTCGAGAACGAAAGCCAATAGGATAAAAAACTGCTCTTTATTTTCGTTTTTAAATTAATTTTTCTACCAGAAAAACATCATTAATGTTTAATCAAAAATTTTGTTAATGATGTAGAATATGAGAAAAATAAAGTTAACCTCATAAAACTCACGATCTTATTCACTTTTTCGGATGGTGTTTATTAACAATTATCTTTAAAGAAAATCTTATATGCTAGTGATATAGAAAAATGATTATTGAATCGAAAGAGAAGAATAACATTTTTGCATATCATCCTTCCTTCTTGACATATTCACTTTGAAACTCTTAATTTTTGCAAAAAAAGTTGATTTTGTTTGATTTAAAAGGGGATATCTCGAGAACGAAAGCCAATAGGATAAAAAACTGCTCTTTATTTTCGATTTTAAATCAATTTTTCTACCAGAAAAACATCATTAATGTTTAATCAAACATTTTGTTAATGATCTAGAATATGAAAAAAATAAAAGTTAACCTCATAAAACTCACGATCTTTTTCACTTTTTCGGATGGTGTTTATTAACAATCAGCTTTAAAGAAAATCTTATATGCTAGTGATATAGAAAAATGATTATGATCGTTGACTTCGATGGATTTAACATCGAATATCTCGAGAACGAAAACCAATACGACAAAAGGCTGCTCTTTATTTTCGCTTTTAAATTAATTTTTCTACCAGAAAACATCTTAATATTTAAACAAAAATCTTCTTAATGATCTAGAATATGAAAAAAATAAAGTTAACCTCATAAAACTCACGATCTTATTCACTTCTTCGGATGGTGTTTATTAACAATTATCTTTAAAGAAAATCTTATATGCTAGTGATATAAAAAAATGATTATCAAATCGAAAGATAAGAATAACATTTTTTCATATCATCCTTCCTTCTTGACATATTCACTTTGAAACTCTTAATTTTTGCAAAAAATTTTGACTTTGATGGATTTAAAAGGGAATATCTCGAGAACGAAAGCCAATAGGTTAAAAAACTGCTCTTTATTTTCGTTTTTAAATTAATTTTTCTACCAGAAAAACATCATTAATGTTTAATCAAAAATGTTGTTAATGATCTAGAATATGAGAAAAATAAAAGTTAACCTCATAAAACTCACGATCTTATTCATTTTTTCGAATGGTGTTTATTAACAATCACCTTTAAAGAAAATCCTATATGCTAGTGATATAGAAAAATGATTATTGAATCGAAAGATAAGAATAACATTTTTTCATATCATCCTTTCTTCTTGAGATATGTACTTTGAAACTCTCAATTTTTGCAAAAAACGTTGATTTTGATGGATTTAAAAGGGGATATGTCGAGAACGAAAGCCAATAGAACAAAAGACTGCTCTTTATTTTCGTTTTTAAATTAATTTTTGTACCAAAAAAAGTAAATTCACGAGAAATGTTCATACTCAAGAAGATTTAGAGAAAATGATACGGAATCTTGACCAAATTAGAGATAAAAGAGAAGAATACTCTCATAAGAATATTCTAGAAAATATTATCCACTAGAAAATTGTCCGAGGCAATTTTCTCATCGTGTATGGTAGCTTTCTCTGTCAATCCTGACAAAACTCGGACGGTTTTGGAAATTATTTTCGTAAATTTTAGTTTTAGATGACGATGAAATGGTTGTGAATTCATCAACATCAGAATCAGAAGTTAACAGACCAGAGAGTTCCACACTCGATGCTTTTATTGATGTTTCATCAAAAGTTGAACAAGGTACTCCATTTGCCATTGTTGAAAATAAATAACTAGACTTTGAGTATGAAAAAGTTGATATTAAAATGAAAAGTGGAGAAGCGAATGCTCTTAGCTTACAGTGTGATGGTGAAAGGAACGAATCCATACTTACCTTCATTAAATACACCAAACCCTGTGTTTTATAAAACTTTGCCAACAAATATTTGTCGACATACAGCAGAATATTTTGCTGAAATATCGATGAAGTTTTGAGAGAAGGTGGTACTGAAAAATTCTTTGCTATAGTAACTGACAATGTCAGTGCAATCATTAAAGCAAAATATATACTTCATGAAAAATACAAACATATTTCTGTTTATGGATACATTGCTCATACACTGAATTTATTAACTGGAGACATTTTAAAAATGAAAACCATGTCTACTATTATGGAAAATATTAAGGCTGTCATCAAAGAAATTAACAATACCTACATTGTATTGTCTCCTTTCAAAAAAATGCAAACTTAAAGAAATGACAGCAAAGCAGCCATTTTCTTAAAATTACCCGTGAAAACACGATGGCGATCAATTATCGAGCATTAAAATTGTACCAGTTTGTGAAATAGTTGAAGATATACTCAGTAAACAAGTTGCAAAGTTTATATTGGATGAGGATATTTTTTGGGTAAAAGTTTCAAACTTTTATTACCTACGAAACCCTATTGTTAAATACATAACCCAACTGGAAAGAGATAAACCAAGGTTAAGCCAAGTAGCTGAATGCTTTTATGAGTGGGAAAGAGGAAAGAGAAGTAAAAAAAAATTTTTGTTGCAAATATTTCCAGATCCAAATTTTAATGGAATTCATTTTAATAGAGAAGAACAATTACAAGGAACAGAGTTTATAGACAATATGGTTACTGTAACAAGTCAAGATGAGTCAAGTCGATCTAAACAAGGGTTATTTGGTAAACCATATGTTTTAAAATGAGTGGAAAAACGACATCCCGTTATATAGTGGAATGCTGTCTGCGTCGAGTGCAGCAACAGAAAGAAGCTTCAGCACCTGCAGCTTTATTCACACTGCCAAAAGAAATCTCATGTCTTATGGCTAGAGCTAGTGGAATAACTTTCATTGCTCATAATTTAAAATTATTAGATTCTGCCACCAATGTAAAGGTTAATGAAGGCAATGAAGACCTTTTTGATATTGAAATGATTGGATGTAGTGATTTGGAACCTTTGCTAGAGCTGTCTGAAAATTAATAATAAATTATTTTTTTACGTCAAATATATTCTAAATATTACAAATAAGTTCTCTATAGTAATTAATCCTATAAATATGAAGCATGCCAGCTTATTCTCAGAAAATTCTCAAAATTGAGAATATTCTCCTATTTCTTTTCTCGAGAATTTTCCATCTCTAGACCAAATTGAAGTAGATCCAAAAGTCTCTACGGATAATAACGAATCGTTATTTTATAATTACGAAAAGAATTTTTTCTATTGTCTTGTTGGCACTTTACAAGAATAGTGATGGTGGAACTTTTGCAAATTCAGGTCTAAATAAAAAAATTTATATTTATTGAATTATTTGAGCCAACCCAACCCAACCTAACCTATTCGTGAGATATTTGCCTTTAAATGATTGAATGTAAAAGTTATAAAAATTGAAGTATTTTGTGAGGTAACTCTGTAAGTTTTCATAAGATATTCTCCAAATTTTGAACATATATGTATTTTTATGTGACAAAAACCATTTTTGAGATTATTTTGTGGTTGCTCTTAGAGGGCGTTAATTGCAGGTAATAAATTCCTTAAAATTACATTTATCTTTTTAATTTCTTTAATTCTAAAGATATTTATAGCAAATAATAAAAATTCTTAAGATATTTGCGTTTAAATGATTAAATGTAAAAGTTATTTATTAACTCACTTTTATGTCAATTTTTACACCGACTTTGTACTTTTTTATTGAAATCCACGTCCTCTTTATTATGATTACTGAAAATTTCATCATATTAAACTTTAATCGCAATTTTATCCATTTTTGGGTACTTTAAATTTCACTACCAATAACTCTTTGTCTCGCCTTCACATCCAAATTGGCATTCTTTATTGGAATCTTGTTTTTAGTGCAGTTCATAAAAATTTCATAACTCCAATTCAACTTTTATTATAATTTTAATTTTTCTCATCGCATAAAATCTTGAACGTTTCATGATTACAATTTATTTTTTGAATGAAGTAATTCATTCTATTTGACCTCAGTTAAAAAAAATGTGTATTTTTTAATTAAGGTAAAGAATGCAACATTTTTTCTTATTAGGTGGTAACGTTTCAAGTTTATTAAAGTAAAGTAAGTCACGTAGTTAATTATACAAAATACCCATCAATAAAATGTCATAGAAACTCATTCTTCTCATGATCAAAAGTGTCCTCCAAAATAAATCCTTTCAATCCCCACTCATTAATAACCAAAAACCTTTTAATTTATTATTCATGGATGACTTTGAAAATATGTTTCTTACCTTGCTTGAACTTTACGTAATTTGATCCTGTGATGTGCAAGAAAACGGTCGTTGATTTCTTCAAGGGCAAGGTCCACTGCTGGTCCGCATCGTTCCAGATCGAATGGCGAATCCAGATGCGACGCCATAAGGACGCCAACGTTGTAATATCGATACTGATCCGTGGATTCAGTCGATAAGGTGACTGAATGATAATTTCCGTAGCATTCGGTCGATTTAAAAACGAATACCAGCAGGATTTCCAGGGGAATGCTTACGAAAGTTATTGCCATAGGACGTAACATCCTCGACGAACGACAGAAAAAATCCCTTCTGCTCGCTGACTCGGAAATGACAATTGGATAATAAAAATGTTATGAATCATGAATGAGAGGAGCGCACTAACAACCGATGGTGTGTAAAGAAAAATAAAAAAATAACGATTTCCTATAATAATTTCATTTTTATGCACTCAAAATTTTTTTTAAACTTACCTAAAAAGAGATTAAAAGTTTTAAAACTTAATCACTTTTATTAACAAACAAATTAAAGTCATTTTTTAAAAATATGTTACGAATTAAATTGTGGATTCAATTATAAAAAACAAACGAAGTGAGATGTAAACAATCGCGTGTAGCCGTGAACTTGACGTTTCGGGAGATAGACAAATGAACTCCGTAACAAGTGAGCGTCGCGACGCGTCTGAAGCAACCACCTGATGCGTCTCCAGCTTCACACAGCTTGCAAGCTTGTATCCTTTTTAGATATTTGGGTGTATGCGCACTAAAAAAAATTGAGCATAAAATTTAAAGAAAAAAAAATTAAAAAATCATGGTAAATTTTTATTAATAATAATAATAATAATAATAGTACTTTATTGACCGCAACAACCAACATAAAAAAGTTAAACAATAATATAAAAGAAAAAAAAATAAATGAAAAATTCATTCTACAGGGTGTTTCGGTCACTCGGGGAACAAATTTAACCACATATACTAGACTGAAAGTGATCACGATTCATGTAAAAAAAAATTAGTAAAAGATAGACTTTTATTTTTAAATTCAGGAGGACAGGAATTATACTCCTTGGCCACATTATATGAAAAAGAGCGCCTAAAAAGAGCGTTCCTGTGAGCAGGAATGGCGATAGTATTTTTATGTCTAAGATTCAAGTTATGAACATCGGTCCTATAGGTGATTTTATTATATAAGTAAGGTGGAGTTCGCGTAGTAATTAACTTGTGCACAAGACACAAGAACTGATGTTTGAATTTATTTCTGATATTTAACCATTTTGCAGTAACCAATGTGGGACTAATATTTTCACGCTTACGAACGCCATACATAAAACGAAGACAGCTATTTTAAACCCTTTGAATACGATAAAGTTCATACCCAGTTAAACATGGACCATACATGGCAGCACAATGCACAAAATTTGACAGAACAAGTGTTTCGCACAAACGTTTCTTTGTAATTATATTTAAAATGTGTCGGTGTTGATAGAGGCATCTAAGAACACCATATGCCTTTTTCACGCAAGCAGTGACATGACTGCTGAATCGCAGATTGCTGTCGACAAGCACACCCAGATTTTTTGACTCAGGGTACACTACCAGCCTCTCTCCACCCAAAAATATACCGACACTATCAGAGTCCAAGTTACCAAAGATGACTACCTTAGATTTAGTGTCATTGAGAGTTAGTGCCATCTTGTGCGAGCAATCTAAAATAGCGTTCAGATCTGCATTTATTTTTAAGCAAGCAGAAGCGAGGTGTTCCTTTGGAAAGGTTATGTAAATTAGGGTATCATCTGCGTACATGTGTATCGACGAATATTGAATGCACTTAGGCAACTGGGATGTATATGTTACAGGCCGTACATGAAATCAGACCGTAAGTATACGGTCTAGGCGGTATCTATACGGTCTAGATGTCACAGACCGTATGGAAATGACGAGGTATTTTATATACGGACTAAACCATTTACATACGGACTACCGTAATTTAGACTGTATGTTCAATCGCAAGTGTCTAGTTGCCGTTTAGTTTTTGTCTCGTTTTGCTCCAATTTACAAAATATTTTGCAGCAAAATAAGCACAGTGGTGACATTCGTTAAAATTTAAACGTTTTTACTGTTTAATGCAATAGATTTCCACAATGGAATTACACAAACAAAGGTACGTTAATATTATAGTTACTTGTTACATAGTAATATAACCTAAAATTAAAAAAATAAAATAGGTTTTATGAACAACTGTATGAACGAAGAAAAGACGTTGCCGATAACAACCGCGGCTTAACGAGAGAAAAATATAGTAGTCTCATTGAAGAAGTAAAAATTGCTAAGGCTGCTAAAAAAAAAGTCCAAGAATGCACTGGCTCTTAAAGCATTATGATGTGTTATCTGTTCAGGGGGTAGAAAAACTGATAGTGCCTCTTAACAATGATTTAGTTGATGTAATATATTACGTCCATGACGACGAGTTGTTTAACATTCTTCAAGAACTACACACATCCACAGGTATGTTCTGTAATTGGAGTCATATATGGAGTAGGTAATTAATAAAATCACTTTTTACTTGCAGGTCATGGTGGTAGAGATCGCATGATGAAAAAAACAAAGGAAAAATACAAGAATATAGTGCGTACTGAAATTTTATTGTTTATTAACTTGTGCGCTCCATGTCAAATGAAACAAAAAAGGGAAAAGAAGGGAATTATATCAAAACCGATGATCTTCAATGATCTGAATTCCAGATGTCAAGTAGACTTAATCGATTATCAGTCGCATGCTGATGGTAAATACAGATTTGTCCTGGTGTACCAGGATCACTTAACAAAATTTGTTATTCTGCGACCACTTGAAAGTAAACGCGCAGAAGAAGTCGCTTACCACCTTGTAGACATCTTTACCACTTTTGGGGCTCCTGTAGTTTTGCAATCTGACAATGGACGCGAATTTTGCAATAGAATTATTGAAGAATTAAAAAGTTTGTGGCCTGAACTAAAACTGGTCCATGGAAAACCGCGTCACAGTCAAAGTCAGGGTAGCGTCGAACGCGCTAATCAAGACGTGGAGAACATGTTAACAACTTGGATGTTGGAAAACGAAACAGAGCATTGGAGTCAAGGTCTACGATTCATACAATTTATGAAGAACACATCTTTGCACTCTGGAATAAAAAGGGCTCCATATGAGGCCATGTTCGGGGACAAACCGAAAATTGGATTAAAAACTTCTAATATTCCATTAGAAGCAATGGATAGCGTAACAACCGAAGAAGATCTGGAAAATGTGATTAATTCTATTCTGATTGAAAACACAGAAACCGTTCAACTGGAAACAGAGCAACCAGCGCTGGAAGGTGTTTCAACAGAAAAAGATTTAGAAGAAGTGGTTACGTTGGTTGTTACTGACAACACACAAACCGGACAATCCCAATTGCACCAAACAGCAACGACCGAAAATGTACCACTAGAAAATAACAATAACACTCAAACACTCTCGTATGAAATATGCGGTAGTTGTTTCAATCCCACTAATCGTGATGCCTCACATGCTGAGAGCACGTCCTTGGAAAATATTTGCAATTTTTGCAATAGAAACAGAAACATAGCAAATGCCAGAAAGGGCGCTTATGATGGATTACAAGCACAGGCAAAACGAATGAAATTAATATCAGATAGCACCCATCCAAAACCACAGATTGGATCAACTGTGAGGATTCCTGTTCCAGATGTCGATCGTGGCAGGGGAGATGCTCGGTCAGTTTTAGCGGTAGTGTTAGAAGCTACAGAAGATGGTTTTTACCGCTTGGGTACAAAACTAGGAGTCATTTCAAAATACTACAGTCGTTCAGAATTTAGTATATGTCCTGCTAACATTTTGAAAATTGAAGAAATCACCAAAGATAAGGAAGTTTCTCTTAGATCGGTGGCTACAAGTCAATCTACTGGGCATGGGCAAGGTTTCAAAAAATGTTACTGTAAGACTAAATGTCAGTCAAACAAATGTGCTTGTCGAAAAAATAATGTATTATGTAACTCAAAATGTCACAATAGTCTAACTTGTACAAATAAATAAAAAATGCATTTTTTTCTTTGTTTAAAATATTACAGTAATATGTATATCGTCTATTTGCAGATGGACCGTTTATAAATAGACTAGTCCTTTTTCAAACCGACTAGTCCGTTTATTAAAGAACAAGCTTCTTACACATATAGACTAATAATTTCAGTCCATTTACATATCGACTAGTCCTTTTGTATACGGTCTTGTTTACATATATGGTCTGTAACATATACAAGGAAAACAATAAAGGAGCCAGAATAGACCCCTGTGGCACTCCCACTCCCACAGGCAGTGATGATGAAGATACATTGTTCAATTTTACTATCTGAGCACGATTGGATAGGAAACTTTCCAAAAGCAAAACCGCTGAGTCGGACAGACCAACATAGCGCAGAAGAGCTAAAAGCATTGAATAGTTAACCTTATCAAAGGCCTTACTGTATTCCAGAAGTACAAGTATCCCACATAGACCGCCATCACGAGCTCTAATAATATCGCCTGTTACCTTTAATAGAGCCGTTGTACAGCTATGGTTAGGTCGAAAACAAGACTGAGAGGTGGGCAAGATGTTATGATCACTAATATATTTACGCAATTGGACCTCCATGCACCTTTCAAGGACTTTTGAGATAACTGGCAAAATACTAATTGGACTTGCTGGATTACTGCTGGATTTGGTTTTTTAGGCAACAGCATTACCAAAGCAATCTTCCAGGCTTCCGGGAAAATAGACTGTTCAAGACAGGTATTTATAATATGTACAATGTAGGGCAATATTTCAGGGAGACACATTCTTATAAATGTGATGTTCAATTCGTCTATACCAGAAGATGTTGATTTAATGCCATTTAAAATTTTAATGATCGAAGGGGTGTCACTGAGTCCAAACGAAAATCTCTCATGGGAATTTGGGAAAAGCATATTTGTACCATAAAAAGTGAGCAAATCATCATCCACATCAGCATAACCAACAGAATTCACAAAATAATCATTAATATTTCCAATATCATCTAAATGTGCGGGAACAGTGAGTTTGGACCTGTTGACAATCTGCAACTCGGATAACAGCCGCCAACTACTCTTTACATCACTAGTCACAAATGTACTATTTAAGAAAGATTTCTTTTCTCGTCGTATTGCAGAAGTCGTTAAATTACGTAAGGACTTGTAGTAGTCGAAGTGCGCTATTAATTTAGTTCTTTTATATCGAGATAAGGCTCTATCCCTCA